GTCCAGCAAGATGATGACCAGCTTGAAAATAACCATAATAAGTGTGTTTGTGTTCCCTGGAGGCAAGTGTTGAGATGGAGTTTGTCTTACTACTTTTTGTGTTGCTGTTAAAGAATGTCTGAGACTAAGCATATAGAAAGAAAAGAACTTCGTATAAAGAGAAGTTTGTTTAGCTCGTGGTTTTGTGAGTCCTATTCTTTCATTTCAACTACACTTATGTAACCCATTCTGTTATTGTACCAAAGGTCACTGAGGTTCTGTCCATTTCTGCTCAGTCATTTTCCCCTCACTTGTTTGGGTAATTTCTACTGATCTATTTCAAGATAAGTGACTCCCCTGTCATTTCTATTCTGCAGGCAAAATTATTTGGTGAACTTTTGATTTCAGACAGTGGATTTACAGTTCTAGAATTTTCATTTGTATTTCTTTGTAGTTTCTATTTGTTTTGTGGAGCTTTGAAAAATCTACATTATTTGTGAGAATATTTTCTAATTCATTAAGCATAGTTAAAATATCTACCTTAATATTCTCATATGCTCATTCCATCACCTAGGTTGATTGCCTGTTTTCTTGAAATGGGGTTTCACATGTTCTTAATTCTTTGAATATCAAGTAATTTTTTAAAAATTGTATTCTACATAGCATGAATGGTTAAGATGTGGAGATTTTGGACTCTGTTATGCTCCTCTGCAGAGTGCTAATGTTTTTGTTTTATTAAATAATGAACTTAATTGAACTCAAACTTCGAATGCTATCTCTAGGCCAGCAGCACAAATGAAAACTCAATTCTTTTGTCCTTAGTGTAAACTATGCATGCATAGTTCAGGCGTCATACAGAGACTTGGGTAGTTTGTGCACAGAATTTGGGTGGTCCACTCTTTTGAGTTCCTCTTTTCTGAGACTCTTCCCTCAATTTCCAGTGACTGTGGTTGCCCTGAACTTTTTCCTATGGTTTTTCATGTCAAAAAGATTTTTCTATCAAATAATCTCCCTTTGTTATACTAAATTCAGTCTATCTTCAGGCAAACAGCCATAAAAAATGTGACCTAACTCTTTGCCATTTCTTTCTTCCAAGATTCAACTCTTTCACATAATAGGCCTGCTTTTGTTCATTCTTCTGTACCACTGGATCACTCTGTGTGTGTGTGTGTTTTGTCCAGAGTTTATAATTATCTGTGGGAGGGCCAGGCCCAGTAGGAATCTACTTGGCCATATCAGATATGTTATTATTTTTTAAAAAATTGATTCATGAAAACATACAAATAATTTAGAAAAACATAAAACTTATTCTTAAAACCCATGATCCTGGAAGAACCACTGTCCACATAATGATAATATGCATTGTTCAATATATGTATTTGTGTATATATACAATATCTATATTTAAATTAAAATCCTAATGTGCATATAGTTTTGTAACCTGGTTTTTATTTAGTAATTATTTCAGATGCTATAGGTTGGTTGTCACCCAGGTTGGAGTACAGTGGCACTATCTCAACTTACTGCAACCTCTGCCTCCCAGTTTCAAGCAATCATCTTGCCTCAGTGTCCTGAGTAGCTGGGACTACAGGCGCATGCCACCACACCTGGCTAATTTTTTGTATATATATATATATATATGTATTTTTTTTTTGTAGAGACAGGGTTTCACTGTGTTGCCCAGGCTGGGCGTTAACTCCTGAGCTCAGGCAATCTGCCCACCTCAGCCTTCCAAAGTGCTGGGATTATAGGTGTGAGCCACCACACCCTTGTCTCTTTCCTTCCTCTACTATAAAAGTTAACAAGTTAAAGATCTGGCCAGGTATGGTAGCTCGCATCTTTAATCACAGCACTTTGGGAGGCCAAGGTGGGCAGATCTCTTGAGCCCAGGAGGTTGAGACCAGCCTGGGTAAATGTCAAAATCCTGTCTCTTCAAAAAAAATAATAATAATAATAATAAAATTAGCTTGGTGGTATGCACCTGTAGTCCCAGATATTTGAAGGGTAAGGTGGGAGGATCACTTCAGCCCGGGAGGTGGAGATTGCAGTGAGCCAAGATTGAATCCACCTCTGCATACTCCTTTCTGGGTGACAAAGACCTTGTAAAAAAAAAAAAGAAAAGAAAAGAAAAAAGGAAAGAGAAAGAAAGGAAGGAGAGAGAGAGAGAGACAGAGAGAGAGGGAGAGAGAGAGAGAGAGAGATTCAATTTCCTCAAGCCTCTTTTGAAACTAAATGTGGTCATTTCTGGTAAAAAGATGTGAGCACATTCTGCTAGAAGGGGGACTTTGTGGAAAACTTTGATTTTCTTCAATATTAGATTACTCACTTGATACATGGAGATGCATCAGTCAAACAAACACATTCCTGAGAGTAAAAGTAATAACATAGAATCATTCGTATCTTCTTAAATATAGTTTGAAATTTGTGGTGTTTAATGTCATATTACTCAATTTTTGAAGGTATAATTTATTTAATCAATTAACTAGCAATATATATCTAATTTCTCTCTGTTCTGCAATAAATATTATAGTACACCCTGAGTGTGTAACATAGAATAGATTCCTTGATGGACTGCCAAGCATCATAAGACTTTGATATATACTGTCAGATTTACATTTAGTAGTTTGTACAAACTTATACACCTACCAAAAGCAGCATATGATAGTTTTCTACTTCTCTCACAACGTAATTATTTTTTAAAATCTTGATTTAAGAAAAATGTTTCCACTTTTCTCCTCTTCTTTATGTCGGAGGAGTTTAGCATCTTTCTTTCCCCACAATCTTATATTCTAAAAGATATGCCTGGGATGCTCTTCCATCAAATATATATATATGGGTTGCTCTCTTACCCTCTCTGGTTCTTTGCTTTTGTCACCATCTAAGTAAGCTTACTGCCCGCTTCCTATCGCCATATTTAAAATTGTATTCCCCAACACTTCCATCCCCTTACTTGGTTTGCTTTTTTGCCATCCAATGTTCTGTTTAATTTATATTTCCGTTATTTGTTTATTGCCTACATCCTCCTCTAGAATTAAGGTCTATGAGAAGAGGGTTTTGTTTTGTTTGTTTGCTTTCTTTCTGTTTTGTAGACTGCTGTATCTCAGGCACTTAGATGATCATATTACTTGAATAAATAAATGTTTCAAAACTGTTAATAAGAATTTACTCTTATACTCCTTCATTTTCTTAAAGAGGATCTCAAAAACAGTTTAAAAGTAATTTTTTTAAATTTACTTACACAATGATTTAGATCAGTGGTTCTCAAAGGGTGGTCCCCAGACCAGCAGCACAGGCATCCTCTGGAAACTTATTAAAATGCTAATCCTCAAGCCCCACCCACAGGGTTTCTGATCCCATACTTCTGTGATGAGGCCCAAGAATTTGCATTTCTAAAGTCTGTATTTTAACAAATCATTCAGGCAATTTCTATGCACACCGAAGTTTATGTATCATTGATTCAGACTTATCTCTGTGTGTCTATTTTCTTATACTACTTACCTCCAATTATATTTAGACATCCTTTCCTCATTCATCAATGCTAATTTTTAATTCATTTTATTACTGCACAAAATGGCTTTCAGCATTCATTTATACCATTCAGGCAGATCTATATTCCCCACTGTCTCGGGTGTGGCAATACAATGGGTTCCCCAAGTAATGTGGAAATTGAACATAGCCATAACCTGCAACTGTTTCATCCTTCTAAAAAGTGCAGGCTTTGTACAGCTCTAGACAGTGATGACTCATTCTGTGCATAGGGCTAGATTTCTACTTGTTTAGAAATTACTGATAGAAATGGCTTTAATATTGCATTCTCTTCCCATGAGATAAATTACTTGGAAATGAGGGGATACATTCATTTGTCCAGCTTTCAACCCATGCATGTGTATGCATGTGTGCACATGCACTCACATGAACACATATTCCATTCTCAACATATTAACACATTATAATTCTCTCAAATGAGGTCAGGAAGGAACTTAAATAATAACTATTTGCCAAGATGGCATTTAAGCACATATTTGTTTAGGGCCAATTATTATGCTAAACTACTGTCTAGGTGAAATATTTACTCAACAGAATTGAAATAACTAGACAAGTCCTGATTACTTACTGCTCGTATGTTAGTTCTGAGGAATAAATGATATAATGTAGTGATCATGCAGTAAAGATAACATGCCACATTACAATATTTTATATTAATTATGTAAATGAGTATTGTATTAAAATAATGGTACAATGTTTTTGAAAAGCCATTTCTGTACTTATGTCTCTGCTTTTAGTGTAACAACTTAAATTTTTAAATAGTTCAGTAGTTTTGTGGGGTTTTTTTGTATGTGGGGTTTTGTTATGCTTCTTTTCTTTGAGACAGAGTCTCACTCTGTCACCTAGGCTGGAGTGCACTGCAACTTCCACCTCCTGGGTTCAAGTGATTCTCATGCCTCAGCCTCCTGAGTAGCTGGGATTACAGATGTGCACCAGAATACCCAGCTAATTTTTTTGTATTTTTAGTAGACACAGGGTTTCACTGTGTTGGCTAGTCTGGCCTCAAGTGATCCACCCACCTTGGACTCCCAAAGTGCTGGGATTTCACAGGCATGAGCCACCATGCCCAGCCAAAACTATTTTTAATCAAGGCTCAAGAGTAAAAAAAAAAAAATCCAGGAGTGCAATGGCAAATAGTTCTCCTATGACAGTCCAAGTTGATGCATATTACCTTCTGGAATGCATGCTGCATGATGATTCTGAGATCAACTCTGGGTTCACTCAGAAAGAATACAGTGATCCATTAAATAATACCCAATATTAGGTGAGAACAGGGAGGGGTGACATTTGTTACATTTGAATTCCCTGATTGAGGTGTTTGTGTGTTAGTGCTTTGAATATGAGATAAAACTGGGTAATTATTCAGAAAATTACTTTCATTCATGTGCAATCACAGTTTATCATCAGTCTGAAAAAATGGCAAATGGAGAAATACAGTGCTGTTATAATTCATTATGTTAATGAAAGAACTGGTGTTTGATAGAAAAAGTCTTTATGAATTCAACATCAAGTTTAATACTACATACTTTAGATTCATCATCATTCATGAATAAGCATAAAAAGATTTTAACTTTGTTTAACATTGTGGAGGGGCTCAGTGACAACTTTAAATAATGTTGATCTATGCATATTAAAATACTTTAATTATAAAAATAATACATGTGCATGATTTGAAAAATTCAAATATACAAGGAAGTTTTGCTCCTATCCCAGACCACAATCCTATACTCCTGTGCCCAATGGCAACCACCATGAAGTTTATTCTATATTTTTTCAAAGTCTATTGACATACAAATACATGTATATATGCATACAAAGATACATACCATACAGAAATAAGAGACAGAGGTTAAACAAACACACCCTTTTGTACACAAAGGGGAACATACTATATACATGGTTCAGCAACCTGCTTTTTCACACTTCACAATATATCTTGAATATCACTCCCAACCAGCACATTTGTATCCTCAGCTGATTTATTTTCTCTCATTTTCCTGTTAACATTTTTACATAAATAACAACCCTTTTAAAAGATTTCTGCTGATGCAGAAGCCAACGCAGACATTAAGAAAGAGGTGGGTAAAAATGCCAAAGGGGCTTATACAAATGGCCACATTCATTTACATAAGGTGATAAACAGATATGCAAATTCAACTCTAGTATATGGTGCTTAAGTACAAAAGAAGAACACAGGAATTATCAGCATATATAACTTGTTCCTCCTTTGCTTTGAATATTCAAATTATTCACAATTTTTAAAGCTTTCAATTTCTATCTGAACATGTAGATCATTTATAATAATTGAGTGTTGTTAAAGCAATAGTTTTCATAAAAGGTTTTGTATCAAGTTTAAACCCTTGTTTCCATCCAGATTCTATATGAAAATCCATTTTCACATTTTGTCATGTATAACACGGTGTGACATTTTGCTACAGGCTTTCTAACACTCTTTAAATTCAGCATGTTTCCAAGGTTCAACAAAACCTTCAATTTAGTTAACAAATTTCCCACATTATCTTCACTCATGGGATTTCTTTTCTGAATGAGTTTTCACATGTTTGGTTAGGGATGCATTTTGTTTGAAAGCTTTCCCACATTCATTACATTCATAGGGTTTCTCTCCAGTGTGGGATCGCTGATGTATAACAAGTTGTGACTTTGCACTGAAGGCCTTTTCACATTCATTACATTCATAAGGTTTCTCCCCAGTATGAGTTCTCTGATGTACAATAAGGTGAGACTTTTGGCAAAAGGTTTTCCCACATTCGTTACACTCATAGGGCTTCTCTCCAGTGTGAATTCTCTGATGTTGAGTAAGGCCTTCAATTTGTTTAAATGCTTTCCCACATTGATTACATTCAAAGGGACTTTCACCTGTATGAGTTCTCATATGGTAAGTAAGAGATGAGCTATGTCCAAAGGCTTTTCCACACTCATTACATTTATAAGGTTTCTCCTTAGTATGTGTTCTTTGATGTATAATGAGATGTGACTTCTTGCTGAAAGCTTTCCCACATTCATTACATTCAAAGGGTTTCTCACCAGTATGAATTCTCATGTGTTTAGTAAGGGATGAGCTATACTTAAAGGCTTTTCCACATTCATTGCATTCGTAAGGTATTTCACCTGTATGTGTTCTCACATGTTCAGTAAGAGATGAGTTATACCTAAAGGACTTCCCACATTCCTTACATTCATATGGCTTCTCACCTGTGTGAGATCTCACATGTTGAATAAGGTTTGAGCTGTGTCTGAAGGTTTTCCCACATTCAGCACATTCATAAGGCTTTTCTCCAGTATGAATTCTTAGATGGTCAGTGAGTGCATGTTTATGACCATGGGCTTTGCCACACTGAATACATTCATATGGTTTTTCTCCAGTGTGAGTTCTCTGATGTACGACAAGATGTGATTTTTGGCTAAAGGCTATCCCACATTCATTACATTCATATGGTTTCTCCCCAGTATGAATTCTCTGATGGTCAATGAGTCCTTGTTTATGGCTAAGAACCTTACCACACTGATTACATTCATAGGGTTTCACACAGGCTTGAGGTTTTTCATGCTTAGTAGATGAGCTAAGGCTGGATGATTTCTCATGTTGCTCTCCAGTTTGAATTTTATCCTGTTTAGTATGGGATGAGCTATCACAGCATAATTTCTCATGTTTTTTGCCAGTTTTGTTACACTTATCAGATGAGCTATGGCTGGATAATTTCTCATGTTTCTTTCCAGCTTGCTTTTTGCCTTTCCTTGTATCACATAAGCTATGGTTGAATGTCTTCTTGTGTTCTTTAGCTGCATCAGATTTCCTTTTTACACGATTTCTTGAGTTATCAGGTAAATCTAAATTCTGTTTCAAAACTTTTCCATGTGACTCAAATTTAAGAAGCCTTTTCTTTGAAGGAACATGTTTTGTATGCAAATTATTTCTTTTCCCCAGTGAACCACAGTCACCGGCATTCTTCTCAGCCTGAGTTTTCTTCTTGACCACAACTTCCCTGAGGAATTTGTTTTGAGATTTCTGGTTATTTTCAAGCTGATCATCATCTTGCTGGACTTCTAAAATAGAATTAAGTGAGATATTCTTGTGAATCTTTGTACTCTTATATTTTGGAATAAAACTTATAAAGAAATGACCTGTTGTAGGGTTAAATTTTTATTCAAGCCTGGTATCCCATTGTGAAGGAAACAACTAGGGTGAATGGACTTGAGGGAGAAAATGTTTTAGTAAAAAGAGGAAGGGAAAGTGACAACAGTGATTTTAAAATGGTTTTGCTGTTTAAAAATATGAGTGTGAACCTGGGATAGAAGATGAAATAAACACAAGGAGAAGTGAACAGGGAATAGATGGAGTTAAAACAGCTTATAATTGCAGCTGACACTTTTTGAGGTTTCTCATCAGTCCTAGCTGCCCAGTTCTGATAACTCCCAAGCTGGCCATAGTATATTGCTCCTGCAACCTGTGCTATATTACCCCAATTCTCCATGGGCACAGTTGGAGACAAATCTGTCTCAAACCAAGATGTCCAACAAGATTCTTTCTTCTAACAAATTTGACTTCAGTTAGTCTCCACTTGGTGCTTAAGTTTAGAAATTATATAAAGCAGGTACTAGTAAAGCCATATTTTCTCTATGTAAACAGAAAGCTCATCAGGTCAAAGAATGAAACATCCACACACAGAGAAGCAGAGACACAAGAACTGTGTCTTAAAGAGGTCATTTGCAAAATTTCAACTCCCAATGGCTTCTAGTTCCTTCCTAGTCCTAGTTCTAGTCCCTGGTGAGGACTGGCTGAACTATCTTGCCCTTAGCTTATAAGAGATAAACCCATGTCCTTATCACAAATCCCTGTATTTACTTAAGCTATCTAAAGTACACTTTTGTTATTATATCCAAAAGAGCCAGAAAAGAAAAATAAAGTGAGTCCACCAAGAAGTACTGAAGAGGTCTCAAAAAAAAAAAAAAAAAAAAAAGGTGGAGATAGGACCAAAATGGCCGATTAGGAGCAGCTCAGGATTGCAGCTCCCAGTGAAAATGCAGAGGGTGAGTGGATGCCACATTTCCAGATGGATTTTGATTTCCCACAGACCAGGAGATTCCCAAGTGGAGGAGCCCCACAGGTCGCCAGCGCGGCTGGTTTGTCCGGTGTGGCAGCTTGACTGGCACCCCAGGGCAGCAGTTCTCTGTACAAAATACATAGGCCCAGGCACCATTTTAGCTGGCGATTGGAGCTCCTGGAAGGCAGAGTCGCCCATTCATCTGATTAAAAAGGGGACTGAAACAGGGAGCCAGGCCAGGAGATTCCTGGGCAAAAAAAATGCTGCGAATCTCAGCATTGCTGTTTCAGCTGACTCCGTGGGTCGCTGCATGGGAAATCACACCGATCCCAGCACCTTTTCAACAGGTGACTGGGACACCTGGGAGACAGTCAACCCTTCAACTAAAAAAAAAAAGGCTCTGAGGCAGGGAGCCAGGTGATCAGGCTCCGCTGATCCCACCCCCACGAAAAAACAGCAATTGGAAATGTTCTGTGTTGAGAGTTTCACAGCAAGCACAGCTGTACCCGGGAAGGTCCAGCTTTGTGGGGGAGGGACGTCAGCCATTACCGAGGCACTCCAGCACTACAGAGGTAGTCTGCCATTGCTGAGGCAGCCTGCTGTTGCCGAGGCAACCCACCACTACAGAGAGAGTCTGCCATTACAGAGGTGGGCCAGCTTTGCTGAGGCAGTTCTAACTACACCCGTATAAACAGGACTGCAGGGAAGTTCACACAGCAGCTGGGCAGAGCCCACAGCTGCTCAGCAAAGCCTCTGCAGGCAGACAGTGACTAGGCTGCCTCCTTGCTGGACAGGGCGGCCCTGATAAAAAGGCAGCAGCACAATGGAAATTCATAAATAAAGCCCTAACTACCCAGGTGTACACAACACCTGGGGAAAAAAAGGTGGGGAGGTTTATGAGTTCTGCTGCAGCAGACTTAAACCTACCTGCCCAGAAGCTCTAAATGAACAATGGAGATCACAGCTCTGCACTTGAGCTCCTATAAAGGACAGACTGTCTCCTTAAGCAGCTCCCTGACCCCTGTATATCCAAAGAGTCACCTCATAAAGGAAAGCTCAGAATGACATGTGGCGGGTATCCTTCTGCGACAAAGATAGCAGAAGAAGAAACTGGCAGCAACCCTTACTGTTCTGCAGCTGCTGCAGGTGATCCCCAGGCAAGCAGGGCCTGGAGTGGACCTCAGCAGACCTACAGCAGAGGGGCCAGGCTGTTAGAAGGAAAACTAAGAAACAGAAGGAAATAACTTCATCATCAACAAACTGGATGTCCACTCAGAGACCCAATCTGAAAGTCAACAACTTCAAAGATGACAGGTGAATAAATCCACAAAGATGAGAAGAAATCAGCGCAAAAAGGATGAAAGCACCTGAAACCAGAACACCTCTCCTCCTACAAGGGATTACAACTCCTCCCCATCAAGGGAACAAGGCTGGATGGAGGAGTGTGATGAAATGACAGAATCAGACTTCAGAAGGTGGGTAATAAGAAACTTCTGTGAGCTAAAAAAACATGTTCTAACCCAATGCAAAGAAACTAAGAACCTTGAAAAAAGATTTGATGAAATGCTAACGAGAATGGACAACTTAGAGAGGAATATAAGTGAATTGATGGAGCTGAAAAACACAACATGAGAACTTCATGAAGCATGCACAAGTTTCAACAGCCAAATTGACCAAGCAGAAGAAAGGATATCAGAGGTCAAAGATCAACTCAATGAAATAAAACGAGAAGGCAAGAATAGAGAAAAAAGGGTAAAAAGGAATGAACAAAGTCTCCAAGAAATGTGGGACTATGTGAAAAGACCTAATCTACGTTTGATAGGTGTACCTGAATGTGATGGAGAGAATGAATCCAAGCTGGAAAATACTCTTCAGGATATCATCCAGCAAAACTTCCCCAACCTAGCAAGGCAGGCCAATATTCAAATCCAGGAAATACAGAGAACACCACAAAGATATCCCTCAAGAAGAGCAACCCCAAGGCACATAATCATCAGATTCACCAGGGTTGAAATTAAGGAAAAAATGCTAAGGGCAGCCAGTGAGAAAGGTTGGGTTACCCACAAAGGGAAGCCCATCAGATTCACGGCAGATCTCTCAGCAGAAACCCTACAAGCCAGAAGAGAGTGGGGGCCAATATTCAATAACCTTAAAGAAAAGAACTTTCAACCCAGAATTTCATATCCAGCCAAACTAAGCTTCATAAGTGAAGGAAAAATAAAATCCTTTGCCAACAAGCAAGTACTCAGAGATTTCATCACTATCATGCCTGCTTTATAAGAGCTCCTGAAAGAGGCACTAAACATAGAAAGGAACAACCAGTACCAGCCACTCCAAAAACATACCGAACTGTAAAGAGTATCAACACAATGAAGAAACTGCATCAACTAATGGGCAAAACAGCCAGCTAGTATCAAAGTGGTAGTATCAAATTCACACATAAAAATATTAACCCTAAATGTAAATTGGCTAAATGCCACAGTCAAAAGACACAGACTGGCAGATGGGATAAAAAGCCAAAACCCATCAGTGTGCTGTATCCAGAAAACCCATCTCACATGCAAGAATACACAAAGGCTGAAAATAAAGGGATGGAGGAAGATTTACCAAGCAAATGGAGGGCAAAAAAAAAGCAGGAGTTGCAATTCTCATCTCTGATAAAATAGACTTTAAATCAACAAGATCAAAAGAGACAAAGAAGGATATTACATAATGGTAAAAGGATCAATGCAACAAGAAGAGCTAACGATCCTAAATATATACACACCCAATACAGAAGCACCCAGATACATAAGGCAAGTTCTTAATGACTTAGACTCCCAAACAATTATAGTGGGAGACTTTAACACCCCATTGTCAATATTAGACAGATCAACGAGACAGAAAATTAACAAGGAAATCCAGAACTTGAACTCAGACTCAGACCAAGAAAACCTAATAGACATTTACAGAACTCTCCTCCCCAAATCCACGGATTTGGGGACACATCGCACCTACTCTAAAACTGACCACATAATTGGAAGTAAATCACTCCTCAGCAAATGCAAAAGAATGGAAATCATAAAAAACAGTCTCTCAGACCACAGAGCAATCAAGGTAGAACTGAGAATTCAGAAACTAACTCAGAACAGCATAGCTTCATGGAAACTGAACAACTGGCTCTTAAATGTTGACTGGATAAACAATGAAATGAAGGCAGAAATAAAGATGTTCTTTGAAACCAACAAGAATGAAGACACAACATACCAGAATCTCTGGGACACATTTAAAGCAGTCTCTAGAGGAAAATATATAGCAATAAATGCCCACATGAGAAACAAGGAGAGATCTAAAATTGACACCCTATCGTCAAAATTGAAAGAGCTAGAGGAGCAAGATCAAAAAAACTCAAAACCTAGCAGAAGACAAGAAATAACTAAGATCAGAGCAGAACTGAAGGAGATAGAGACACAAAAAACTCTCCAAAAAATCAATAAATCAAGGAGCTGGTTTTTCCAAAAGATCAACAAAATAGACCACTAGCCATATTAATAAAAAAAAGAGAGAATAATCAAATAGATGCAATAAAAAACAATAAAGGGGA